CGTGCATGTTCGTGCATGTTTTACAAAATAGATGAGTTTTCATAAATGGGAAATGATATTCAAGAAATTCTTTCTTTTATATGTTTATATACATGTTTAGAAACTTCTCTCAAAAGTTTACTATTTTTGGAGTTGATTTACTATGCCCAATTGATTTCATAAAATCGGGTATGTCAGCAGATTTTCAGAAACTGTATATCTGTGTTCAAACATTTATTTATCTCAACTGGAAAATGATTTTTTATAAATTCTTTCTCTAACATGTCATTATATATGTCTAGAACCTTCCCACAAAATTTCATAATTTTTAGAGCTGATTTACTATTTTTAATTGATTTTACAAAGCCAGATACGTAAATTTCCAGAATGCTGGATTTTGGGGTATTTTGGTCTTTTCAGCCTATAACGGCTAGTAACGGCTAGTTTTTGATATTTTCGGTTTTTGGGGGTTTGTGGCTGGTTTAAGAGGCTATAAAAAACCCTTAACTTTCATTGTTTCTTATGGATGTTTAAGAGAGTTTTAAAAAGAGTTTTACAAGTTTGTTGAAGGGTTTTTAAGTTTGTTTCAAGAGTTTGTTTGTGAAGAAAATTCCACAAGAGCTTGAGGAGATCATCTATTAGAGTTTGAGCAATCAACTATTTTATATTGTGCTTATTGTGAGATTCACTTTGTAATACACTTGTACACCAAGAGAGAAGTGTGTGACGAGAGTCGGGGATCGTCCCAAGAGGAGTGGCGTCGGTTGACGAACCTAGGGAGAGGTTGTATCCGAGCACTTGAGGGAGACACGTCTAGTTCAACACTTAGTGGGTGTAGAGTGGGATTGCAAGAGTGTTGATTGTAAAGTTTTCGGTTAGCTAGAAAACCGAGTGTGAGGTGTAAACGTTATTCGGGTGAACGTAGAAAACCCGGTTGTGATAGTGGATTTCTCCCCGGGAGTGGGGAGCGGAGACGTAGGACGGAAGGTCCGAACTCCGTGATCATATTGCTTGTTTGAGTTTGGCTTAGCACTTATATTTGTTCATCTTTATAGCCTTTCTCTCATTGTTTACTTCATCCACTATATCATTCATTTTGTTTACCCTTGTATTAGTTTATATATCCCTGCATATATATTTCATCATATAGGATATATCTCATTGTTCATATTGCTTATCCTAGCTTATATAGTTGTTATATTTCATACTTGCTATGATAACTCATTAATTAATTTTAATTGGCATTTAATCGGATTAGATTAGCATAAGACCCTAATAACCCCCCCTCTAGGGTCTAACAGAAGGGGATGTGGAGCTTATGAAGATTCACATAAAAGATAATCCAGCGGATATGCTCACGAAGGTGGTTCTGAGCAATAAGTTCGATAATTGTAGAAACTTATTGCAAATTTGTGATTGTTGAGGCCTTTCGCGGCCATTTGGATAAACTACGTACGGCTTGATCCTTGGGAGAGGGGGTACGTAGGCAACCACATTAGTATAGCGGGATTTGGCGAGACGACGCATTCATGATGGTGTCGACTCAGTTTTGGAAACACTTCGCCGAGGTGGAGAATTGTAGAAAAGACGAATTGTTCAAAGTGTTGAAAACATGAAAATTCAACAGCATGGGTGTGGTGCGTGTCACACCCGGGTGTGGCAGAAGCTATCTGCTACAATTCAGGGGTGTGGTGCGTACCACACCCGGGTGTGGCAGACGCGTTTTCAGATTCCCACCTTATTTTGGATTGTGTTTTGTTATAAATAAAAACACGTTTTTAGGGTTTCTTAACTAGAGAATTAGCATTGTTTTGAGCACTTTGAGAGAGATATCTATTGTGAGAGAGTTGAGATCTTTGGTTAGGATTATATTTAAGAGTTTGTGTGAGTTGTAACCCGTTATAATTCTCCTCCATATAGTGAAATCTCCCCATCCTCTCCCCGTGGACGTAGGCAATTACCGAACCACGTATATCTCTGTGTTTGTGTGATTTTGGCCGTCAATTTGATGGATTGCACTCGCGTTTGATTTTGGTTATTCTCTCATCGCTCGCCGACTCATTTGGTTTGCGAGCACGCTTCCGCACGGCGCGCAACATACAAAACAAAGCTGTTTCTTCTGACCTGAAACAAAACCCCCCAAAAAAATTTCTTATAGAAATACATGGAAACCATTGGAGAGACTATTTTAGCATCTCTTTCGTACTGATGTTATTTTAAGAAACGAACCAAACAGCCAGTAGCCAAATCAACCCTTCTCCTCACGGGGGACAATTGAACCCAAGACACCCGCTTTGATTTAGACCCGAAATAAATAACCCCATAAAACCAAATTATCCCCGACCCTAGCCGTAGCATTCTCGCCTCAGCAAAAGCCGTGGCAGAATTGAGAAGCCAAATTTATGTGGAGTCCAAATTTATTCCAAGTCTTATCCCTATACCGTCCTTATTCCCTCGGGGGAGAGTTGAACTTGTCGTCAAACAGTCTTAGTCGACAGCAAGAGGAATAGTTCCTGGAATAGGGACACCGCATCCGAAAATCCTTTAATAGAGAGGATTATGACGTTGTGATGGGATTAGACGCACGCTTGTTCAAGCTAGCTAGCTACTTTGTGTGTTTTGTAGCTTTTTTTTCTTTTTTTGTTAGTGAGATGGAAGTGACTCCCACCTTCTCTATGTTTTTCTTGTTCTCTTGTCAACTTGAAATTTTGGAAATTTCCGTTTTAGTTTGGTCCTTTGATGTCTATTTTTTTGTAATTTTGTTGTATGCGTGTAGGAATACGTTGGCAAGCGAGACAGTATATGATGGATATCCGGAGGAAAATATTTTTTTCATCGATCTTCTCGTTTATCTGTTTCTCGCATCTAGAGGCTGACAATGGAGATCTGAAAAAAAATCATCCTTCATGAGAAGTAGTAATAATCGTTATCATCGTAGCATAAGGAGAAGTCACTTTTGGAACATATATAATTCAAAGTTTTCTTGTATAATAAGCTACACTTCAGAAAAAAAGAGAGAAAAAAAAACAAGGATGTCATGGATATACGGATGAGTAAATACATTATTCATTTATTCCTATCAAGAAAAAAGACATGCCCCCCGACGTGAATTATTTGGTAAACAACCGCTTGATTTTTCAGGCCTTTATTAAACCACGATAGTGCGCTATTTAAGTTCTTTTGACTTAAAAAGCAGGTCAATGTCATCCCGTGAGCCAAATTTGCGTCCTTTTACTTTGTGTTAGCTTGGGGTGTTATTCCTAATTACTTATGTTGAAAATTTTTCTTGAAATTCTTTGAAATTGGGAAGTTCCTTTATACAAATTTCAATCTAATAAATGTTATTATAACTTGAGGTCCCTTATATCGTTTCACTGCCGGTGATAAAGAATAGAATACATTTATATCTTTGTAAAATACAGTCGCAATAGAATACATTTATATCGAGGCTGTAAATTAAAGTACTAGAATAATAATGAAAATAAGATTTATAATCGTATCTGCACGCACAAGTATTTTTCAAAAAATTATAATTGTTGATGAACAGAATTCTCAAGTACCATCCATGGAAGATGGTTCAGTTTACCAAACATAGGAATCAAATCTATAAATTCCTACCATCGTGGCAATACCGCAAATAAAGTGAATCTCAAGTCGTAGAGTCGCCCGAAAAAAAAAATTATGGGAATGAAGCGAAAAAAGAAGAGGAAATAATGGCAGGTTCCGGTTCAAACGGAGCGTTTTTCCGCAAAGCCCAAGCTTTGATCAAATTGTTAAGCGTTTCATTAGTTATAGTAATTAGATTTGAGCATCATTAGAAGATCGCTTAGGCCATTGAGCTTGTGAAGTCTCAGATTCGAGGTTGGAATGTGATCTTTGACGAAAGAAGATTTTGTGATATTATTAATTTGATATTATCTAGTGAAACTTTAAACAAGATTAATGAATATTATTGTTAAAGATGTAAGAAAACATCGTACCGAAAATCTAAATATCTCCATTAAGTCAACATGCAATTAAATGGAACCTAGGATATACTACTATGTTCGCGCGATATCATCGTCCATACGAGCTGATTTTATACCAATCCAGTCTCAATTAGACACAACAATCTTAACGTCTTAAACCCACGAAATCTCTATTTTGTCAATGCATAACTAAATGGACCCATATCATTTTCATCTATAAACAAATCAATGTTGTATGTTTTGATTAATTTGCTAGATGACTATGGCGTGAAATTAGATACCGTCTTTCTTGAAAAAAATTTTGGGTGTGTGCTTCATTAAAAATTTACATTTTCCTTTCTACTGAACTTCCTGTTATATTTGTCATGAACTAGTAGGATACATTTAGTCCCATATTAAGAAAATAAGAAAGGTGCGTTCAAATGATACCCAAATCAACCTCACACTTCTAGAGTGGTAGGGTTTTAACTTTTTAAGGGCTGATTTAGTACTTAGGGACACTAAACGAGAAGTCAATGTAGCTTGATTACTATTAGAGATGAGTTCTACATATCTAACTTAAATTATGAAAACAAACAATTCAAACAATATATATACTAACTAGATTAGATGACAAGTACCAATCAAAATGAACAAAACACTTCGATTGCTTTCTTTCTCCTCGACGAATCACCGCATATTGATTGCTCTCAAAGAAAATCCATATGCGTGCAAATTCTCAGGCCGATCCCTCTCCTTGATAATTAAAGCTCAACCATTCTCACTCTAAGCCTAATTACGAGGCTAATTATCGAATCCAAGTAACAGCCCGGATTTTGTGCTCTCCTGGTCCCACTTCCGCATTAAAAACATGTCTACCATGTGCTCTCTAAATAAAAGGCTGTTCCCTGTTTTGTGAGGAGCAGCTGATCTGTTCGATTGAAGACGCGCACACACGCACTAACATCAGTGCACAGTGTTTAGAAGCAGCAACAGCCAACAAATTAAAACAATAATTCTCATTTGAAAGTTGTTATTTTGTTTGCACTCTGTATTTAATTCTCACTGTGGGATTTCTGCCGTCTTTAGAGAGAGACAGAGGGAGGGGGGGATCTGAAGAGTGGGGGGAAATGGATAAGGGATTAAGACTGAAGGTATATCCTCACCAAATTCACTTTAGTTTCTGTTTTCCCTTTCTGGGTATCTTTTCATTTTGATCCTCGAACTGATTTATGCTGTAAAAATCCCAACTTTTTGTCTGATGTTTTGATTACAGGGTGAAGGAGTTGGAAGCTAGCGGAAAGATTTGATTTTGGTGTAAATTTCTTATTTTAGCATCATTATCTGTTGTAGCTGAAGCCAGAGTTGTGTTTATTTTGCCATGAAAGTGAGAGCGGTGCTTTGTGGAAATATTTCACTGAGAAAGCTGTGTGATGTTTCTGGTGATTTATGAGAAAACTTTGGTGAGGAAAAGATTGTTTGTTCAATTTTCAACAAATGGGCTTGTGTTGGATTGTTGGTTGCTGTACTTCTGGAGGATATGAGGTGGGTTTCTAAAATTTTGGAGGATTAGGGTTTCAGGAGCTGGAATTTGGTTTATTAGTATCAGTGGAGGAATGAGATTTGGGATTTTACGATTTTGATCAAGGAAAGAGTACAGAAGCATGTGGATTTTCCTATATTTCTCCAAATCAAAAGGCAGGTTTCTGGTTTCCCTTCTAAGTTAGCAACTATTCAGCTAGAAACAAGGTAAGAAATCCTACCTTTTATCAAATCAGGATAATTTTTTTTTTTCATCTTCTAATTCCTATTCAACTAAGTTCAGGTTTCATTTCTCTATTGTTTGCACTTTCCAGTGATCTAATTGCCTGCAAAAACTATTGGATCTCTTCATCGAATTTGTGATATTTGTCGGGTCAAAATCAATAGTGCTTGTCGATATAATCATGTTTGGGAATTCCACCAAAGAACTGCTGAAGGACTCTGAGAAATGCTTGGACTCCCAGCTTTGGCACGTTTGTGCTGGTGGTATGATTCAAATGCCACCTGTTAACTCTAAGATTTACTATTTCCCTCAAGGCCAAGCTGAACATGCCGTCACTAATGTAGATTTTGGTAATGCTCGAATCCCTGCCCTCGTTCATTGTCGTGTAGCTTCTGTGAAATTCTTGGCTGACCGCGAAACTGATGAGGTTTTTTCCAAGATAAAACTAATCCCGGTTCGGGATAATGAGTCCGATTATAGTGAAGCCGATGATCAGTTGAGCCTAAATGGCAACGGTCCAGATTTACAAGAGAAACCTGCATCTTTTGCCAAGACACTGACTCAATCTGATGCTAACAACGGTGGGGGTTTCTCCGTGCCTCGTTATTGTGCTGAAACCATTTTCCCTCGTTTGGACTACTCAGCTGACCCTCCTGTACAAACTGTTCTTGCTAAGGATGTGCACGGTGAAGTTTGGAAGTTTAGGCACATTTATAGGGGTACCCCTCGCCGTCATTTGCTTACAACCGGTTGGAGTACTTTCGTCAATCAGAAAAAGCTAGTGGCCGGGGATTCAATTGTTTTCTTGAGAACCGAGAACGGAGAGCTATGTGTTGGAATCCGAAGAGCTAAGAGAGAAATGGGCAATGGTCCTAACTCCATTTCAGGGTGGAACCCTCCCCCTTATGGGGGGTTTTCGATGTTTTTAAGGGAAGAAGAGAGCAAGCTAATGAGAGGGAACAGCAACAACGGTATCAATTGTGGAGGGTTCGCTAATATCAGAGGGAGAGGGAGAGTGAAGGCTGAGTCTGTGACTGAGGCAGCAACTTTGGCAGCGAGTGGACAGGCTTTTGAGGTAGTTTACTATCCGCGGGCTAGCACCCCAGAGTTCTGTGTGAAAGCATCAGCAGTGAGAGCAGCGATGAGGATACGGTGGTGCCCAGGTATGAGGTTTAAAATGCCTTTTGAAACAGAGGATTCGTCGAGGATAAGCTGGTTCATGGGTACGATATCTTCGGTGCAAGTTGCTGATCCTCTCCGTTGGCCTAATTCACCATGGAGGCTACTTGAGGTACCACTTGTTTTCCTTTTGACTGCATAAAGTCTGAATTTTTGATGTTTCGTTTTCCCTTTGCTTTAGTTAGGCTATATAATTTACTTTCTGTTTAATGCAGCGACATCAATATAGGTTTTTGATCAGCTTTTAAGCACCTATGTCGTACTTGTGAACGTAAAATAATTGAGAACCTTGAAATGCGCAGTTTAGCTGTACTGATTTGAAAAAATAAATCGTGTGAAATAGAGAAGTAGATGGTCAGAGCATATAAGATTCAATTGACGACAAGAAGAATCCAAAATGACATTATTCTAAAACGTTGGTTCGATTTTATTACTTGAGCTCTTTAGGGAATGTATCTAAGTTTTACTTTCTTCGGTGATGCCAGGATGTGATATTCTTGTTAATGAAAATTCTGAAGTCAGTTAGCAATTTGGCATTGAATATGGTGGTTTCTTTTAAATGTGATAGTCAAGAGTTAAAATACTTCGCATGTCCTTGACTATGTTTGAAAGAGAACCCTTTTCCCTCTACATAGTGTCAATTAAAAAGCTTGTGTAAGGTAAAATGGGGAAAATAAATTATTCAGTTAGCATTAGTTAGAATATTCAATAGGGACCTTGACATAATTTTTAAAAGGGTTATTTCAAAATAGAAAAAATGTGATGTGAAACAAGGAAGATTTTTCAGGGGACATCTGAAACTCACATATAGTAACTATGAGTCTCAACGTTCTTTGTTGAGGGTCGTCCAAATATCATCCAAGATTATGACACAAGTACACTTGTTGCTTCTAATTAAACAAAACCGAATCTCTTATTTATTTATTTTATATTTAAGGTAACTTCTCCACTTACTATGTCATAGGTAACCATGTAAATGTAGATGGATGATGTAAATCTGAGTGAACTCAACCTGCTAATGATATAAGTGAAACTTTTTGAACAATGTTGGAAGTGTATTGTAACGTTGCTAATGCCATAGTTAACTAATGAATTATATTTGACATGCCTTATTCTAGTATATGATAATAGTAGTTGTGTTTGTTATTTTCTGACCATTGAAAAAGCTTAATGGATGACTTATCTCAACCTGTTAACAGCTTTAACTACGTTTACTTTTTTTTTTTGGCTAAGAGAACAATGAAAATGGCCATAAAAATATAAGCTACTCGAGTAGAAGCTGTCACAGTTCATTCAATTTATTGTCTTTTCGTAAGGAATTAATAGCATATTGCTCAAGGAGATTCTAGCTTCTCTCAGTTTATGTCCAACCACCAACCTTTCATTATAACAGAAGATTAGAGGTCACATAAGGAATAACAGTACATTAGAGGTCACATGAGCAATGGTCACGATTCAGGAAAATTCCAAGTTTCTTACTGGGGGTTGTGAGGTTTATAATTTTACTCTTTAACATGTCTCGCAGCTTGAGGGCCCTTTCATGAGCTGCAGCCCGAATTATTTTTCAACCACCTTGTATATATATTTTTTTAATTCGCTTTGAATTTATGTCTGGGGTTGCTTTGGTACCATGTTAATGGTCCATTCAACTATACCAAAACTTCAAAGTTTTGACCTGCACAAGCTATTTATTGGTAGTTAGTATGCCATTCATTTTTCATTTTATTTTTATTTTTTAATATTTCAGGTGACGTGGGATGAACCAGATTTGTTACAGAATGTGAAACGGGTTAGCCCATGGCTCGTAGAACTAGTGTCCAACATTCCATCCATCCACTTAACCCCCTTCTCATCACCTAGGAAGAAACTACGACTTCCCCATCATCCCGACTTCCCCCTTGAAAGTCAATATCCAACTCCAACCATTTTCCCGGAAAACCACCTCCTCGGGCCCAGCAGTAGACCTGCAGGCATACAGGGAGCCAGGCATTCTCAATTTGGTACTATTTCCCTACCAAATATCCATCTTAACAAACTTCATCCCGCTCTATTTCCATCTAATTTTCACCCAACTCCGCCCTCAAGAATCTCCACAAGCCTCTTCATGAACAACCCCCCAGTTCATAACAATGTCTCCTGCTTGCTCACTATTGGTACCCCTCCTCAGGCCTTGAAGAAACCTTTTGACAAAAAAGCCCCTCAATTTGTGCTATTTGGGCAGCCCATACTCACTGAAGAACAAATCTCTCTAAGCAACTCTTTGAACAGTTCGTCTGATGATAATCATGAAAAGGTAGCAAACTGGTCCTGTGAAGATTTTCCATGCTACAAACATTGCAAAGTTTTCATGGAATCAGAGGATGTTGGCCGAACCCTTGATCTCTCTGCTCTTGATTCTTATGAGGAGCTTTATGAGAAATTGGGTGGTATGTTTGGCATTGAGAAATCTGAGATAATGAGCCATGTGGTTTATTGTGATGCATTTGGTGCTGTCAAACATACGGGAGACGAACCATTCAGGTGACAGTTATGGCCTTTTTTATGTGCAGAATTTACTTGTTTTTTATTTGAATTTTCTGAAACCAATACATTATAGTATATCCCATATAAGTGTTGTATAGTGATAGTGTATGTGGTGTGGTAGAATGACGTATCCCTTTCTTTTGTAAATTTCTCTCAGAAATTTATCGCGTATTTAGTGTATCACGGTTCGTTGAGTTTCATCAGGTTTTGGCTTTTTTTTAAGGTGAACTACTATTTGCCTATTTGGAATGTGCCTTAGCATTTGGTCTTTCTGTTTATGAATAAATAGTCCTTTTTGCTGCTTTAATAGTCTTCTGGAAATTTTAAACAGTTCCACGAGCTTCTCTTTAATCAGTAATGTCACTTGAGTTGAGCTAGGTTACTAAAAATAGTATCAAAGATGTGGATACTATAGTATATGAATTTGAAATTTGGATTTTCAATTTGAAAATCCATGCGTGGTATGTGATGTAATACGCATGACCAGAAACAAAATTTCAACAATTTCAACGTGTTTTTAATCATGTAACAAGGGGTAAAATTTTATTTGATTTTATAAAAGTTCTAAAATGTTGATTTGACAACATAAGTTGCTTGAGTCTGAATTTTAAATTTGGATCAGCGTATCCACATTGTGGATACTATCAATAGTAACCTAGCCCTTCACGACGTTTTAATAATTATCCATTTTTGGACATTTGAATTTTTATCTACTGCCATTGTCCATATCAGCACATTATTTTACTATTTCTTTTCTACATTCTTCAATTCTTTTCTAAATTCTTTCGATGCAGCGAGTTTATGAAAACAGCACGGAGGCTGACGGTGCTTATGGATTCAAGCAGTGACAACATCGTTGGAGGACATATCGTTCACTCTTACTAGGCTGACGGTGCTTATGGATTCAAGCAGCGACAACATCATCCGAGGATATATCGTTCAATCTTAGTAGGCGGGCGACACAAAATATTGCAAATAGTTATGTTCTATTTTCTTTTATTCCCTTTGTTATGTATTTGTGCTAAGCTTCCAGAGAACTTTGATCTATCATTTCAATTGCCCCTAAAGTTAGGATTTTGGAACTAGACCATGATTATCTCATCAAATGTAATATGTGTTACTCTTCTTTTGCTTTCCTCTATTTTGTGGTGTGTGTGTTCAATAAAAACCACTATCTTTTATATCGTATGTTGCCGCACTCATTTATTGTTCAGATTGTTATTTGAAGTGTGTTTTTAGAGTATGATAGCTCACGTGATACATTTTTTTTGCTTATCAAAAAATGCTATCTGAACTTTGAAAAACTTACGACATATCAATATCAGCTCTTTACTATGTAATTTGTGTTTTCGATGGCATTTTATTTCAGTGAAATGTCAGGCAGTTTTTCTATCTGAGAGTGTTGTTGCATTTTATTTCAATTTTACTTCAAATATTGATTTTTTTCTACAACAATGCAGAGGGCTATGTCTCTCATTATTTTCTGATTGAAATGTGTTTTGAAGTTGTGATCATTTTCATTGGTAACTAATTGAAAAATTGAGCTTTAGGAGAACGAAGTGGTGTTGCTTGAACCGTATATTGGCGGGATTGAGCTAAACTTATATTTAAATGATCTTGTTTGCTCAAGAAATTTTATGGGCAACAATGTGCAAGAGTATGTTAAAATATGAAATTATGATTGTTGCGATAACATCCTTAATATCTTAATAAGATGTCACTGAAATCATCCAAGTTCCTACCAAAGACATATATTAAGAATGGAAGATTTAAAAAGAAAATATCTCGCATAGAAATTCAGGTACTAACTCATGAAGAAATTGTTCAATTTATTAAGACCATATTATTCTATCTATCTTTAAAAATGAATTTTTTTTCCCCTTCTAGAAACCATGTTTAAAATAGGATCATTTTATAAAAAGTATTTTTAGTTTTTAATTTATATATAAACTATATTAAACAATTTTTTGTTGCAATCAACTAGTCGTGCTCACTTTTTAGTTACATTTTTTTCGGTAATTGATCACGTCTAATCTCCACTAAGAATCATCTCTCTTAATATATTTGGTATTTCTCAACTAATTATCCACGGATTGAAAAAAAATTTGATATAAAAGTGAGTTCATGTGATCAATTGCAATAAAAAGATATTTTAAAAATAATTTATGTGTAAACTAAAATTATAGACGAATTTGTAAACTTTATATTGCAGACGGAATCTAACTGATTGCGGTTTCAGAATCATGGGGGGTGTGGAAAAGTTAACAAATTATTATAATATCAGAGTGTTAACTTTATCGAAGTTTCGAAATGCTGACAATAGAAGAATTCTCTGACCAAGCGATGACAGGACGTATGATCTAAGTTTGTTGCACGTACTACAATTATTATTATATTTTAACAAAATAAATAAACAAATTGAATAATTAATGAGCTAAACAGGGGGGCAGAGCAGACGACAAGGACGTGAGAGTCAGGGACACTGTATGGTAAAGATTTTTTTTTTTTTTTTTTTTTGATAAGCTGTTCAATACTGAGTCAGAATCGATCCTAGCCTAATTTTAAGATGTAAACTAAATTTGCTTTTGATCCGGAAAAGAAATTGATTAAAATCTAGCCACTTTTCAAGGCATTTTTGGCCTAAAAAAAACTAAACCTATTGTGACTTAGATTTTTCGAAAGAGGATGAGATCGCGAAAAGAAAAAACTCTAGTATCGCTCTTTACTCCCCTAAACTATGGTAGCAAAAGTTGCTCATCGTTCCATGATTCACGCATAACATTTGAACCTAGACTTGGTCTAAGATTCGATGTGCTTATTACACTTAAGCTGCACTTGTATTGTTCATGTCTACAGCTGCCAAGTATAACCCCTTCCCTTTCCAGTCCACGAAAATAAATGCTTGAAAGCCATTAGAAGGAGCGCCCGTACAAAAGCTCCAATTATTTAATACATGGATATAAGTACATACCACCAATCTGCATAGAAGCCAAAATTATTAGCTTCATAAGGCATAACAGGGGGGTAAATCACCATGCAAAAGCATAATATGTATTCACAACGTTAGTTCCCTTTGAGCCATAGACATTAACCATAAAGTATTGCCCTGTACAAACAACTACATCTACACAAATAAATATCACTTTTTGTTTACATTTCATCACAAATACATCCTACTTTCTATACATAGACAATATACACAGTTCGAAGCATCCATCTCTGTAGTGGTAGTTTGTACTGAAGTGGGTGGCTCAACTTGATGACAACAGCTTCATCATGAAATCAAACTGCATTCCAGGAGCAGTCTTAGGCTGAGGCCATTTTGCTTGCTCTGGAACTTTGATGATCTTGAATCCCTGGCCTTTATACAGTCTTACGGCAGCGATGTTTTTTATGTCACAGTGCAATGCAACAGAACGACAGCCCCAGCTGCGAGCTTTTGCCTCTGCCTTGGCAATCAGCATCTTGGCGATTCCCTTTCTTCTATCCGTCTCTCGAACTGCGACGTTTGATATGTATGCTATTCCAGTTCTGCAGATATTTCAAATTTAAGAAGATATCATTCTTAACCGGCGGAGAATGGAAGAATAGGAAAAATATTGCCGACCCCAAAAATTGGGAAACAGGCTTTGATGTTGTTGTTGTTGCTGCTGTTGTGGATTGATATATGAATAGTAAGATTTCATATTGTAGATGGATTCATGTTGCAAAAAAGATAAATTTCACAAAACCACCATGAATTTTGGCAGTTCAAAACTATCATGAACTCTTGATGGTGGTCAGAAACTATCATGACCCCTGTCCAAAAAGGCATGTTGTGGACGAATTTGCAGTTTTGTACTTTATTTTTCGTTATTACTTTATACATGTTCCACATTCTTTCCAGATTGATATATCACATGCTACAATGTGCAGGACAAAGGGTTGTGATCCCGCGAGGGTGAGCTAACTCCAAAAACCCGTCCTCAGTTCAGATTGCAAGCTGCAACTCGCCTGCATGAAGCCTGAATTGCTAGTGATCGCCGGTCAGCCATACGACGGTGAATTTGTTCCCAGGCCTTGTACACACCGCCCATCGCACTATGGGAGCTGGCGATGACCGAAGATACCTTAACCGCAAGGAGGGGATGTCGAAGGTGGGGTTAGTGTCTGGAGTGAAGTCGTAACAAGGTAGCCGTACTGGAAGGGGGGGGGGGCGTATTGGAAGGCGTAGCTGGATCTTCCAAAAGGGAAATCGATTTTTGAGAGTTGTTTCATGGATCCACAAGAGTACTTGGGTTCTCCTAATAAATAAAAAGTGTATTGTGCCTGAATCAAACCGGGGTTCGCGGTGGTGGAGGAACCGAATCGGAAAAAAGAGGGATTCTAGTTGTAAGATAGCTAACGAAACCATAGCTAGAATTGAGATCTCATTCAAAGAAAGATAGCAAATATCTGGGGTTTCTTTTTTATCCTATATGGAAGTCAAGGAACGTAGGAGATTACCCTTCAGAGAACTAAATGAAAGAATAGAATTTATGTACTTGACCCGAAAAATTTGGGACAAAAGCTTTGTTGTTGTTGTAATTTGATATATGAATAGGAAGCTTCATATTGCAGATGGAATCATGTTAAAGAAAAACTCCGCAATAAATGTAAAGCTAACAAATTCTTTAAAATCTTAGCCTTTCATAAAAAAGCGGTTAATTGTTTTTTGACAAAGAAAATTGATTTTTGACAAACAGACATCCTAACAGTAAAATCTTTTACCCTCAGATAAAGAGAAAATTGTTTTTTTGACAAACAGACATCCTAACAGTAAAATCTTTTACCCTTAGATAAAGAGAATTGTTTTTTGACAAACAGACATCCTAACAGTAAAAGCGAAAAAAATAAGTCAAGGGGTCTATCTGCAACTATAAAACTACAGGGGGTGTATCTGAAATTTACCTTTCAATCAAAGCCCTGGGCCTTGCATCGATAGATGCAATCAGCCAAATAATATTAACATGCAGTTTATACCCAATTCTCCTGTTTGAAAGTAATCAAAAACTAGTCCGAGAGAACATGTTCTTAGTACAGGTCTAATGAAGTTTTAAGGACTTTTACTAAATAAAAGAAATAGAGCATTTCTGTCTTAACAATCTTTCTAAGTAACTTACTAACTTTCAAGGAGTCGCATGCACATAAAAGAAAATTGATATAATGAATGTGTCTGCTTTTGAAAGAGAGTCATGAACTGTCATTAAATATACAGTACGGCAAGCTATTTTGAGGTCGTTAAATTGCTTGAAGATTCACTCTTAGCATATAAAATATTGTGTCTTATGCTATTAATTGAAAGGAACTTTTTTTGCACTCGCCATATCCAAT